TGCCTGTGCCTGGTTAGAATATTCCTGCTCCATTGATGGAAACAGCCTCTAGACTAGGGAGTGGCCAAGTGGACACTTGCACTTTACATCTTTGTGCTGCCAGAAAGATGGCTTTAAAATTTAAGTAGGATCACCACCTGCCACCCCTCTTCTCATATACAACTCCATCCATTGGCTTTCCATGGCTCTCAAGGTAGAAACCAAATTCTGTAACAGCTTTCTAAGGCCCAAGGTTCTCTGACCACATCATGTCTAACCAAGCTCTAGAAACTCCTGCCACACGGCCTTCCTTCCGTTACTTAAGGGGTCCCCAGCTTGCTCCCTCCTACTTCTGGGCCTATGCTCCATGCTGTTCCCCTGTCCTGGAACCCTGCGTGTTCACCTCCGTAAGTAATTGTGCTGTCCCTGACCTCTCCACCCAGCTCAGGTCCCCTTGTATTGTCCTCTCACAGCACCACATCCCTCTGCTTCCTACCACTTCTTGGATGGATTCTTTGATACATGTGGGTGTCTTCATCAGACTGCAGGCTCCGTAAGGACGTGAACAGTGTGTGTGTTTTGGTTTGGAATTCAGTGCTGTGTCCCTGCCCCTATTCTGTAGGATGGATGGATATACCATATCTGAGAATCTTATTAAATATAATTGTCTTTAGGTTATGTCCTTAAAAGTATATGCAGGTGTACATCTACTCCTGTTTGTCATCGTATGTTGCATACTGTAGGGAAATGGAACCTGACAGGAGGGCGTAGTTTGAGATGGATCAGGCATTCTTCTTGGAATGCCACTTGGAAAACAAGTCCCAGTTTATCTAAATTTTTAATTATTTTTTAAAAGTCCATTTTTTATTGTATTACCTAAATTTTTAACCAGCTTACTTGGACAGCTTTTTCACTGGAGTCTGTATATAACTTGTGAATTTTCTTGCTATCCCATGAGAAGGAAAAAAAATTAAATTGTGCATCTCCCTGTGCTGGGCTTCACCACTGGCATGTTTCTCATACATAATGAAAGCATCCTTACATAGTGCAGTATCTCTTTGCAGGCCCCAGGCTAACTCTCCTTCCCACCCTCCCCAGACTGCCCTGCCTCCATCTGGGCCACAGAGACCACCTTCCTAAGCTCCTGCTGCTGCTTCTCTCAGAGGAGCTGTGTCTGATGTGGTAAAAGTGTCTTCCAGACAGAGGGTAGCTCTGGAGAGAGAACGGATTAGGGCCAGGAACAGGCATGGAGGGATGCCAACCTTACTTGTATACTTTATTTCCTTTTAAAAAAGCTCAAGTACAGCAAAACAATAAGAGCGTTATATGATGCTCTGGACTTTATATTTAAAATATTAAATCATTTTAAAGACTAAGTGGAGGAAATAGATGTATTTATTAAATATTCAGATACATATTGATTTTGTCACTTTATATGAGTTTTTCCCAGCTAGGAAAGTATTTACCATCCCTTCCCATACCTTACAAAGTGGTAAGAGCACTGCATTTAGTAGCAGTAAGGCAGAAAAAAATTAAACCTCAGAATTAAAAACAGCAGGATCCATGTATATAGGTAGTATTTTCTATATTTTATTGGTTTTGATTATAAAGTGGATACATGCTTATTGTAAAAAGTATTTTTAATACAAAAAATTGTACAAAGCAAAAAATGACTCCACTCATTCTCTCAAAATTTTATTCTGTGCATTACATGTATGTATGTGTTTGCATGTGTATGTAGTCACACACATTCACACATATGTAATTTGTTAACAAATAGGATCATGCATTCAGTTCTGCAACTTTTCCATTTTTGTTTACTGTTCTGTCTTGACAATTTGTATCTATGTCATTGGCATGCCTTTTGGTGTAGAGTTTTATTTAAAATTAAAAAAATATTTTGGACTTCAGCAGGATTTATTACTCTCCCCATTCAGTATGTTTTAAGTTGTATGTCTATTCAAATGCATGTAAGTGCCATGACTTATAAAATATAATTTTATTTTCAAGTAATACTGAAGCCCTAGTAGCTTTGTTTTCTAGTCTCAAGTTAATGGATATTACTATATAACTGCTTTCATGTGGAGACTGGAAGAATATTTTGAGGTTGTAAAGGGGGCCTTATATTTAAAGACTTTAGTTTGGAAACTCTTGGGGTAGAAATTTGGGCAAGGTGTCTGCTAAAATGCCTTTCAACTCTCCTAAGTTTTCCTAATAAGTTTCTTGGTTGATGTCATTCAGCGAATAATGATGGTTAACTTTCCCATGTGCCAGCATTGTTCTGGTTCTGGCTTATATTCCATTAGGGGAAGCAGCTGGTGAACCTGGGAAAGCTTTCAAGCTGTGATAGGTGTAGTGAAGGAAGTAAAACGAGGTGAAGTGATGGAGAGGCTTTGGGGAGGTCCAATATGGCCATGATGGGGAGAGCTGAATCTTCCTCTGCTGTGCAGCAGTGACGTGAACAGTGTGCCCACTCTCTGTCTGCATAAGCCTATGTCCTGTGGCCTGCCAGGGGACTCCAGCAGGACTCAGCCTGGTCTGGATAGCTGAAGACGCTGGTCAGGGCCCATGACTGTATTATACTTCTCAAGAGAAGGTTTTCGACAGGGGCTAGAGTTCATACAGGTGAAACTTTCCAAATCTGCAGCCCCCAGCTGAGTCCCCACGTGTCCTGAGTCCTCCCTTCCCAGTCTAGGTGGGCCTTGAGGGGAGGAGAGGAAGGTGGGGCCTTGCAGCTTCCTTCTCCCAACCCTGATGCCATGGCAGGCTTGGAAGGGCACAGGGTGCTCTAGATATCTTAAGAGAAGTCATTTTAGAAATTGAACTATTTTAGAAATTGAACAAAGGCCTATCTGAAAGGAAACACTGGATGATACAAGTTGTTGAGGAGGTACTTTGGCACACTCTGTCTCACAGGGGCTCATGGCCCACTGGTATGCAGGTGGCTGTTTTATCCTCCCTCATAGATGGGAAATCGGGCCTATAGAACTGTTCTGTTACTGACCCCCATCCACCAGCTTGGGGAGGAAGAGAGCAGACCAAATCCTGCCCCCACCCCAGGCCTGGGTTGAAAGAGAAAGGTGTTCCTGACTTTAAATGAAAATTCAAGGCTTGGGAAGGAGAGCAAGGCTTCAGGATAGTGCCAGTCTCACTTTCTGGCTATCTCCAGTGTGGAAATCCTACCCCTAAGGCACCTGGCTTCCTGGAGAGCAGACATTGTGGTCTGCATTTTCATGTGAAGTTGTTTGTTCATTATCTCCCTACTTTTATCTAGAGGTGAGCTCAATGGGTGGGCTCAAATTAGATCTCTTCAAGAAATTAGTTCCCATCAGAAAGTTAAACCTTAAAAATCTCCCAAGTGCAGGCCTGACACAGGCAGGGTGTTCAGGGCCTGAAACCCAGGAGGTAATGCAGGTATGAGCAGAGCAAGAAGCTGAGAGTGGGCAGTGCAGGGGTTCTTTTGCTCCCTGCTCTGCAGTGGAGGTGTGTCTGCATGTGTGAGGGGGTTCCCTTTATCTCTGTTCACTGGCCACAGCACTTAGCAAAGTGTGGATTGCAAGCTTCAGGCCACTCAGCACTGGCCTCTCTTCCTCTGCCTCTAAATCTTCCCAAGAACCAGTACACAGGAGCAGATGTCTCCCTGTTCAGTTTGCAAACCTGTCTCTTTTCTCTGTACTCACTCCCCAACCCACACTGGCCCCTCTGCCTCTCTTAGAAAAGGCCTACAGCTCAGGTTCCTCAGTGGGGCATTTACACTGGGGCCTACGGGGGTAGAGCTCACTGAGTGTCACTGTCTGGGAGGGACAAGTCTGTTGGACTCAGGACTGTGGCACCCGGCACCTCTGGACACCATCTGTACCTCACCTGTCTTTAGAAGGGAAGGGTTAGTAGCTTGAGTTGCCTGGGATGAGTTTGGCCTTTCTTTGTCTTTCTTCAGGGGGCAGACCGCCCTGTCATATTAATTTCTGACCACCACGATTAAAGTGGTAAGTCAGAGGGTGCCGAGGTATCGGCCAGTTCCTATTTGTTAGAGGGTCTGCACCAGGCCAGGTGGGAACTGGTCCTTTATGTACATTTTCTCATTTAATCCCATGACCCACCCTGAAGGAAGACCTGAGCTCAGAGATGGGAAACCGAGAGGTGGAGAGGCCAAGTCACCTTCTGCGTCACAGAGCCAGCGAGTGGTAGAGTCAGCCAGGTCTCCCTGCCTTGTGCAGTGCTGCCTCAAAGGATGATGACAGGGGAGGAGTGGAGGCTTGCTTGGACAGGCCAGCTGGCTTCAGGCAGGTAGCGAGGGACTGACATTCCCCTTGTTGGGTAGTGTTGCCAAATAAAACACAGGATGCCCAATTCAATTTGAAATTCAGAGAGTCAGCAAATTGCTTTTTTTTAGTATAAGTATGTCCCATGTGATATTTGGGACATACTTATACTAAAAAGGTTATTTGTTGTTCCTCAGAAATTCAGACTTAACTAGGTGTCCTATTTCTGTTTGTTTAATCTGTTTAACCCAGTCCCCTACTTGGGGACCCCAGGAAGCACACTGGACCTAATGTGTGGACAGTTGAGGATGACAGAGAGTGACACAAATCACCCTAGAAAGTCAGTGAGCTCCCCGCTGCAGGGTGTCTTCAGGTGGAGGCCGGGTAACCGGTAAACGACCTCCACTTGGTGGAGGGCGTTTGGGTTTCAGTGCCTGGTTACAGTGAGAGTCTAGGAAGTAAACATTTTTGAGACAAGGAGCGTGGATCACCTGGGTCCTCACTGGGCTCTGTCCCATCTAGTGTTCAGAAGCTCTCCGAAGTCATTTGACATCGGCACATGTCGAGAGGACCAGTTCTCCCCACTGCCTAGGAGTGATGATGGGTGGCCTCGCTCTGGTGAAAACCACCCAGCGTGGTCTCATTAAGTGGTTTGGTTTGGCTTGAAGAAGCACTGCGTTAAAGGTGAAATGAAAACACATTTTTGTCTCTTGCTGAGAACTGACTGTGACTTCCTGGTTCTTTATATGTCTTCTGCAGCAGAGTGTGACTTGGGTGACCTGCATCTCTCCCAGGCGGTGAAAGCATGAAAAACACCCACCCCCCAGGTTCTGCACAGGCCCTTGCAGGCAAGTGAATGGAGATGGAGAAGTTTTGATGTTCGTTTCTGCTATGTACAGATTCCCTAGGTGTGGGTACGTCTCATCAGCAAGTCAGGACTCTAACAGCTTGCTTGTAGTTGTTCAGTGTGGCTTCTGTCTCTGCAGAGGTCTGGCCCTTGGCAGGACTCCTCTAGCCTACCTGCTTCCAGCCCCTGGTGGGCGCTGGGTAAAAAAAAACACATTTTGGTATTAGCCTAGTCCAGAAAGCAGTCAAGAGGGGAACCTGCAAAAGTAAAATTATATCACACATTCCAAAACAGATAGCTATGGCTCCTTTCCACTCAGGTGTTTTAACTTTGACTTAATATCAAATTGAGAAGTTATTATTAATTAAAAATAAAATTTTAAGTTAAACACTGAATCAAAATACCCACTGTATCAATAAAGAGTTTTTTTAAATATGTATATTGATGCTATTAACCAAAATCACCTATTCTTTTTTATTACCTTGGTTTAACTGGTGCATTTGTAAGCAGCAGGAGCATTTTGCTTGTGTTTTTCAGGAAAATCACTGAATGGCTGACTTTTGACAACATGCACCACCAGTGGCTTCTGTTGGCCGCATGCTTTTGGGTGATTTTCATGTTCATGGTGGCCAGTAAATTCATCACCTTGACCTTTAAAGACCCGGATGGTAGGTATGCTACCTTGTGGAATTAATTTTGGCTAACTTAGACCTCACTGTGATACTGTTCCTGGGTACATGCCTGGATGACTTCTGTCACAGAATCCAAGGTCTTTCATTCCGGAAGAGAACATGGAGGTTATGGCCACCGAATCCTTGATGTCACAGAGGTGCGAGTAGGAAGGAGGTGGAATAGGAAGGGACAGTCCCCCCAGCACCACCCTGGGGGCAGGCAGAACATGCTTTCTTATGGGTTCTTTGGTGCCTCCTCCATGGCATCCCACAGGCTCAGGATCTGGAACTTTGTTCTGCTTGGTGTCATCAGGAGCTGCTACTCAGTGTGCCTGAGTGCCAGTTGATGCTACACACTGGTGGCCACGTGTTTGAAAGTCACCTTCAGTACATCAGAAAGAATGTGATTTAAATATGCGCACATTTGGTTGTCTTTGAAGATTTACTCCCCTGGACGTGATGTGGGCAGTCAGTAAGGACACATAAAGAGCACCAAGCCCAGCCTCAGCAGAGCTGCTTCTAGGTCATGCTTCTGTCCTTGGCTTACCTAGTCCTGAGTGTGTTTTCTCCCAAACTGACGTGCTACCTGCTCTGACAGCCTCTAAGACTGACCTGAGCACAGCAAGGCTCTCGGAGTGATCCTCGAAGTGCTGGGTATGAGCAAGGAGGTGCAGTGATGGTCCTAGTGATTCCTAAGAGACTCCTCTCAGAGGCAGAGTGAGGCAAGGCACAGGGCAGATGTTGCAGGCTTAGGAGCAGTGTTATGCTGGCCTGATGAGGTCTGCCTAACAAGGAAGATGTCCATGACCATGGGTGTGCTCAGCATTCTTTGCACAACACTTTGCACATCCTCCTGCAGATGGTGGCCCTTAGGAAAGATTAGAAAAGTATCCACCAGAGCCCTGGCTGGTGTGGCTCAGTAGATTGAGTGCCCACCTGCGAACCTAGGGGTCGCTGGTTTGATTTCTGGTTAAGGCACGTGCCTGGGTTGTGGGCCATGTCCCCAGTAGGGAGCACACAAGAGGCAATCACACATTGATGTTTCTCTCCCTCTCTTTTTCCCTGCCTTCCCTCTCTAAAATTAAATAAATAAAATCTTACAAAAAAATGTCCACATGAGTAGTTTCCCAATTTTCTCCTGGTGGCTGCATGGCTTGTGCTGTCCCTGTGACCAGAAAAGGCTGCAGACCCTGCTCTGCCTGGAGCTCCTGAGTGTGTCCCTGTGGTACTGAGGGCTGCCCTGTGCCCCTCACCTCCTGCTCCCCGTCTTTGGGCCTCCTTGTCTATCCAGGAACAAGGTTGGAAGGCAGATCTGCAGGCAGGAGAGGGTAGCCCTGAAATCAGCTCCAAGGTGTAGTTCTCAGCACCAGTTTCCACTCACTAACAGTTATCAGGACCTCAGTGCTTGGGGCTCCAACGGGCTGTCATCACAAGTAACCCCTCACCTTTCAGGGGCCCTCATGAGAACCTGAGGGTTTTACATTCTCAGTATCAGTGTCACACCTTCCAGCGTGGCCAGGAGCATCACAGGTAATTATGGCTCACCCTGGGGACTGGCACCTTTGTCAGAACAGCAATGGCTCAGTCTGGGAGTCTTGTTGGAATTCGAGATGATGATCTCAGCCTGACAGTTTGGACACTGCTTCCGCTGCTCCAGCGTGGTTCCTTGTTACCAAGAATGGAGACCCTTTGTTAAGTGTTAGAGCAGCGGTTCTCCTCCCGTTGGCACTTCAGAATACTGGGAGCCTTTGTAAACTTTTGCTGCTTGGGGCCAACCAGAGACCAAGTGAACCTGAATCTAGGAGTGTGGCTCAGTGGAAAGCCCTAAGTGTAGAGCACAGCTGGGGAGTTGAATGGGAATCAGAGCTGCTGAGAAGATGAAGTCTGCGTCGCCAAGAGTCCACACATTTACTTGGGATTCCTTTAAATGTCACTTGGTAACAGAGCACTTACAGGGGGCAGGTCATGAGGTTAAATTGTTTATGGTTTAATTTTTAAAGTAGGAGAACAGGTAATATTATCTATGAGACTTCCACCAAAAACAAATTAGATGTGTGTTTCGAATTATAGTATTTTCTGGATTCTCTAAAGAACACCTCATTCCTCAGTGGTCACTGTTAAATAAGATGCCATTCTACTCTGATGTGTCAAGTTTTATGCTGACTGTCTTCAGAAAAGTGTAGAAGCTTAGAGTAAAGGGGAGCAAAAAATTAGAGGGAAAGAAGGGAACCCTACAGAAAAGGATGAAACACTTTGGGATTTTATTTTATTTTTTATTTTTAAAAATCTTTATTAATTTATTTGATGCTTTGGGACTTTAGACCTGACAAAAGATCTGTGGTAGTCCTCAGGACTGCTAACCAAGTGTCTCCAGCCCTTTAAGGTGAGTGGTAGTTTCTCATTCCCTTTGACGCTTTCGGGGTTGTATGACGCTGTGGTCAGTGCACAGGAGCCCAGAGGTGTGGACCACTCCAGGGGGAGCTTTACAGCCAGTGCGCACTTGGCCCCACTCCCCTGTTCCCACTCAGGGAAGAATAGATAGGGCCCCGAGAGGGTGGAGCACCAGTGGGCGTGGTGTGGGCCCCACAGCGTGCACTGAACTCAGAGGGAGAACCTTATGTTGTTGGGCCCACAACAAAGGTCAGTCTTTTTTGACCACAGAGGATCTTACCTAATTGCCCCTAAATACCTGGCTAGAATCACAAAGATGGCTGAGTTCTGTATGAAAGCAGTGAGCTCATGGACAAGGAGGGTCTTGCCAGTCAGGATGATTGAGCTCCCTGGAGAACTTAAACACTTGTTAGCCCCTGAAGGCCATCAGAGAAGACCTTGGGTGGGGATGGTTCAGACATCTCCTGCTTCTGAGCCCTGTGGTTTAGTGGGAACAGTCACTTAGCCTTAGGGGCCCCCTCTGTCTGAATAGGCACTTAAAACCCCTGGTGGATCTTGGAGCTGAACAGGAAACTGAAAGAGCTTTATAAACTTGTGTCTGCAAGAGATTTTCTCATGTGTTAGAATTTATTTCATTGGTGTCCACAGTATTTTAGCTTTTGAACCAAAAGCCTACTGTGAAAGAGCATCACAAGGAAATAGCTGACAACACAGCAGTATCATTTGTGATAAGGTCCACTTCCTGTAAAGCAGGCAGCTAATCCTTGGCCCCAGCGTCGAGAGGCCGGTTATAACTCAGGTGTGTGTGGGGCTGCCCCTCTGGCTCTGTGCTCTGGGAAATGGGCTCTGTTCTAGACCCGCTCAGTGGATGTGTGTGTTTTCTTCTTATCTGCCTGTTCCTAATGGTTTCCCTGCTGGCTAGACTAATAGGAAGAGACTTGTCCTGAACTGAACTGCTGTTTAAAGCAATGCTTACCTTGGTGGTGGTGGTGGTGTTTTGTGTGGGTTTTTTTGTTTGTTTTTGTTTTTAATAGTGTTAAGGCCTCTCTTCAGCTCTGCAATAAAGTATGGAGATACTTGTGGCAATAACTTATTCTTAGTTAACAAATTTCAGTGTCATATTGAACTAGGATCAGGGATAATAACTAGCTTTATTGTAGGGAAATAAATCCCATTCAGTGATGGGAATTTCATGTCTTGGTATATTGAGACTTGAAATCAAAAATGATATCCTTGTGCATCTGGTGCATAAATGCAGGCACATTTTTCTGCTTGCTTTCATTTGACTTCTAATCTTTTTCCTCCACTTAGCCCCTCAACCTGGTTGTAAGCCGTGTAAGGGCAGAGCCAGTGACGTCACTGCCTTTCCAAGCCCTCTGTCCTTGAGCGATGGGAGTGATGGTGCTGGGGGGCTGGGCTCACGGTGGTCAGGGAGATGAGTGTCTGCCATCCCCTCTAGGAAAACAAAGCAGCATGTCACTTGCAACTTTAAAGATATTTTGTAAAACATTATATGTAAATATAATAAGGCCTGTAACAAAAGGGAGCTAATACATTTTGAAGGCACCTGGCCATACCTGGAGGATCAGAATCCTTGGTCTTACCGCTGGAGTCTTGTCCCTGAGGGGTGACGGGGGCAGAGAGCCACTCTTCGGTTATCGTGGGGATAATGGGTCTGCTGAAAATAAGTGGTTTTTGGCAAAGCAATGGAAAAAGCAAACCAAACATAAATTGTGCTATCAGTTTTATTTTGATCTAGTCAAATAGAGGCTAAGGGGAGTTGGGAAGCAAATACCGGGAAGTTTAGAATCATAAAATGTTAAAAATTGGCAGATGACTGGCCAGTATGTGAGCTGTCCCACAGCCATGAAGCCTGTTTTCTTTGCTTCTGAGTGTATGAAATAGGTCACTTTTCAAAAATTCATTGATAAGTCAGTTGTTTAGAATTCAGGATACATTGTCTTATTTAAAACTTTGTTAAGAAAGCTTAGATTTCTACCTACTGAACTGTGTTGAACTAGCTAAACATTGCAGTGCTAGTCGTAGTAGAGAATTGTGGAAGAGGAAGTGACCAGACAGGAGTGGAATGTTACTTTTTAATTAGCACGTTGGTGCCCACAGATGGTAAGGTTGTGCAGCAGGAGCAGGGGCAGATGTTGGTCCCAAAGCCCTCAGAGTGCATTCAGCAGCTTTGCGCTGATGGCACTGATGCTTTTATCTAATTTGGCACCATAAATGTAACGTTCTTTGTCCTTATTGCAGGTGTAAGTCAGCTCCTGTGTACAGCTTTGGTTAGGTTACATTTTAACCCAAACCTAGAAAATGGAGAAAAAATTTTAGTGGATTTTCATAAAGGTGTGTGACAGAGATTTTGATTGGAGTCAGTTAACTCGAAGCTGTGGGAGATGGGATTATTGTTGTCAGGGCAACGGTAAGATGTTCTCAGCCTTCCTCTGCAGGGACGACAGCAGGGCTTTCCGCAGGGGCTTTCTCGTGGCTGTGATGGCTGGGGAGGGGGACGTGAGGGCTGCGGGGGTGCTGCAGTAGAATGTGCAGTGTTGGTATTAATGACCTAAGGGGAGTAGGTTTTGATTTTTTTTAAAAAAATGAACTGTACCAGTGTCGCAGGTTCAATTCCCAGTCAGGGTACACGCCTGGGTTGCAGGCCATGACCCCCAGCAACCGCACATTGATGTTCCTCTTTCTATCTTCCTCCCTTCCCTCTCTAAAATAAATAAATAAATAAATAAAATCTTAAAAAAACATGAACTGTACCTTTTTTCATGCTTTGTTATGCTGATTTTAATGCTTTTATTTGCTACATATATTTTTTCTTTCTAGTTATGTATTAGTCTTTGCAAAGTTTTGAAAGTAAATGCTTGATTATAGAGATCTGAAAATTTTCTTCAAAGTTTGCCCCAAAGGCTTCCCAAAATCAGTTTGCTATAAATTACTACTTTCCAAATGGACTAGCATTTTGTAAGATTTCTCTAGTCTCATCTCAGTTCCCATGAATTTTTAAATTAATATGTAATCACTAGCACGACTGCTAAGTTGGCTTTTTTTAATTTTTAAATTTGGGGATGGTTATAGAGTCACATGCTTTCGTAACAAATATGAGAGAAAGTTCTGTGTCCCTCGAGACTGAGTTCCCTCCAGTGGGCACGTCCAGCAGAACTGTGCTGCAGAACCGTGAGCAGGGCTTGGACATTCCTGTGCAAGCTGCAGAACACCTTTGTCACCACAGGAGTTCCTCCTGTGCCCTTTTATAGCCACACCCAGCTCCTCCTCCCTGGTAACCACAGATCTCTCCTCTCCATCATTTTGTTTTTTAAGAATATTATAGTGGGAGAGCGTTTGGAGGTCTAGGTAAAAAGGTGAGGGGATTAAGAAGTACAGATTGGTAGTTCCAGAGTAGTCAGGGGGATGTACTGTACAGCACAGAGAGCACAGTCAGTACTGTGACTACGTGTAGTGCCGGATGGGCACAGCACTTATCAGGGGAACCACTTCATGAGTTACAGAAATGCCTGAACACCATGCTGCATTCCTGAAGCTAATGTAATACTGAATGTCAACTGTGACAGAAATTTTTTATTTTTTAAGATAAAACAAGGGAAAACAATTTATATCCAATATGTGACCTCCTAGGATTGCCTTTTATTACTCAGCATAAAAAAACCCCTGGGGATTCATCCAACTTTACTGTATCAGTAGTTTGTTGCTTTTCATTGCTGTATTCCAAGGTAGATATACCCATTTGTTTAACCGTCATCTGTTGAAGGACATCTGGATTGTTTCCAAGTTGAGGCTGTGCAGTTTGGGGCTATTCCAGATGAAGCTGCTCTAAGCATTCGCATACAGGGTTTTGAGCGAACATAAATTCTCATTTCTCTGGGATAGATGCCTGGGAGTGCTGGTGCTGGGTCGTAGAGTAGATGAATGCCTAGTTTGTCAAGAAGTGACCAAACTGTTACACTGTTTTACATTCCTACCAGCCATGTGTAATGCGTAAGTGATTCATTTTCTCGGCATCATTGTTAGCATTTTGTGTTTTCACTATTTTGTATTTTAGCCATTTTGATAGGTGTGAAGTGGTATTTCACTGTGGGTTTTTTTTTTTTTTTCAGTTATAGCTGACATACAGTATTATATTAGTTTCAGGTGTACAGCCCCGTGATTAGACATTTGTAACTTACAAAGCCATCACCGGATAAATCTAGTACCCCTCTGACACTATACAGTTATCACAGTGTTACCGACTGTACTCCCTATATTGTGCTTTACATCCTTGTGTCTATTCTGTAACTACAAGGTGTGGCAAAAGTAGGATTACAGTTGTGAATACATGAAACACAGTTTATTCTTATATTATTATTTATTGTTATATTATTTTCCATACAAACAACTGTAACCCTACTTTTGCCCCATACTCTATCTGTGCCCTGTGGTTTTAATTTGTATTTGCTCAATGGCTCATTTTGTGGAACATCCTTTCATGTGTATTTGCCACCTGTGCATCCTTTTCAGTGAAACATCTGTTCATGTCTTACCCACTTCTATTAGGATGCTTTTTTACTGTTGAGTTTTGAGAGTATTTTATGTATTCTAGGTACTACTCCTTTGTCAGATATGTGGGTTTTATTTTGAGGTTTATTTTATCAATTTTTCAAAAGATGTTCTCCTATGTTTTAAAAAAAAGTTTTACGGGCATATGAGTCTGTAGATGTTCCTTTGCTCAAGTACCACTTCTTGAAAAGACTTTCCTCTTCTACCGAAGTGCGTTTGCACCTTTCAAAAACTAGTTGGGCATATTTGCGTAGGTCTGCTTCTGGGGCCTCTTTTCTGTCTCACTGACCTGTGTGTCTGCTCCTCCATGAAAGGCATCTCAACCTCTCTGTCTCCTAGCCTACAGCGTCAAGCAGGAGTTCCTGTTGCTGACAGCCATGCCGGATACAGGGAAGCTACAGGGAGAGAAGCAGTTTCCCGAGGAACTGAAGGTGGGCACAGCAAGGCAGAGGGCACTGCCCCATTGGCCTGGTCAGCAGAGGAGCAAGGCTGCCTATTCCCAGTCTTACTTGTGTGTCTCCCTCTCTGCTCCCTCCCTGTAGCACCAGCAGGCCCCCCGACATTGTGTGGGCTCTGGCCTCCCCTCCCCAAGCTCATCAGCCATTTCCACTTATCATCATGTTCTGCTCTGTAGTCCCTACTTTTGTCACTTCTGCACATTTCTGCTTATCTTTTTAGCTTCTCTTTGGGGGAGGCGGGCACACGTCACAGCTATTTATGCTCCGCACAGTGCTGTGCACATCATGGGTGCTCTGTAAATGTTGACTGTGCCAGATTTCTGTCCAGCTGACAGGGAGCCTTGCTAGGGGAGTGGAGGATGTCAGGCAAGGTCAGGAGAAAACCAAGGGTGTGGGAAACTGGAATCATGGAACTTTAGAGTTAGAAGGGGTCTTAGACAGAAGAGCAGGTAACCAATGGTGTGGATGAGAGCTGAGTTTAGGAAAAAGGCTGATCACCCGGATCACGTGGGAGTTAGTGTCAGAGCCCAAGGCTGCTGACTTACTCCCATTGTTCTCCTTCCTTGACATTCTGATCTCCGTCTTTCTCTTCAAGCTGCTTTACACATAAACTCCAAATCATACCTTAGCCGCAGTGAGGGACACCCTTTTGAGATCTTTTCTCACTTGTTGGCTCCCATTCTGGATTTGGAAGGTTTAGGCTGAAATTATGCTGGAAAGAATGAAATGGATAGAGCAAGTTCTAAAGATGTTTATCAGCCCAGAATTAAACCACAGAAAAGGGATAGTTCCTGTTCATAACTTACAGTATAAGACAACAAATCAGAACCCACAAAGTCTGGAAAGCATGCATGTGGTCAGAGTAATGAGCTGTTGGAGTTAACTTTTCACAAGACATGGATGTAATAAAGATGAGATCAGCAGAACTCTTTTATCAGATGGGCCTGGGATGTTGCTTTAAGTGTGAGGTGTTCCAGGGAAAGGAAAGTGTGGATGGACTGTAGACACAAGAAACAGACCTGTAGCAAATAGGATGGTGACTTTAATGGAAAGAATTAAGGAAATTGATATATGGTGACTTGAATCAATAAGGTAGGGTAAGAATTTTGCAAAAGGAATAAAGGGCTTTGAGACAAGGGCACTGCTAGGATGCTGCAGCTCTGGGAAGAGGGACACATGTCATCCTGGCAGTCACTCTCTGCATAGACTGCTGGCCCACAGGCGCCGTGTGCGGTGGAAGTGCCGCACCTGACTATACCTTACAGTTCCTTGGTTTCAGTGTGTCTGGTGTGGCAGTACTGGACCTGGATTTCCACGCAGTGTTCTCTGTCCCCTTCTCTGTCCTGCCCTCTCCCATTGATTCTCCGTAAAATCAGATGTGAGGAGAAAGCAAATGGAACAGTGGTCAGATGTAATTCACTCACACCGAGGATTGTCAGATGGTGAGCTCAGCATGTTTTCCCCAAAGAGAGGTGATTTATGAAGGAGATCAGGTCGCATAGCTTACCACTAAAAGTTTATTTTGTATATGATGTAGTTGAATATGTGAATGGAAAATAGAAAGTAGTATCAGACATTAAAATTGGTTTTGTATACTTGCAGGGGAAAAATAGAAGGTGAATTATCAGTCAGCAAACACAATTGAATGAGAACAATTTTTTTCTTTGTAGATAATGCCTAAGCTTTAAAAAACAAATTCAGAAAGTGACAGATTTTTCTGCAGTTTCTCAATAGAACTTGTTTAGAGGTGCTGCCCTGTGATGCACTGCTTGTTAGTGTCATCTGTGATCAGGATTAGATCTGACGTTTGAAATAATTACAACAGACCGAGAAGAGAGAGACTCTTGGATAAGTGAGTCAGAGAGGGGTTTGATGAGGGAGTGAGGTTAGATTAGGCCAAAGCAAGAAGGCAGTTTGGCTGGTGCTGGTCCCAGGAGGCCAGGGCAGCCGGCTGTGCTCCTTGGGGAGCATCCGAGGGGTGTCTGCAAAGGAGCAGAGTGGTAGGTCTGCAGGTGCTCTCTCTCTCTGTCCCACAGTGTCTTCACTGCAGGAAGGAGCCATTATGAGTCCCTAAGACATTCTTCCCTCTACCAGGGAAACCCAGGAAAATCAATCAAACACAGGAGAGAGCAAGAGTATCCTGCAAAAGGTTATGTGTATCAGGGAGTTTGGTTGTAGCAGATCCATGAAGGAAAAGCAGGGAGCTGGGTAGTGGGGCAGAACCTGTACTATCCCAAAATTTCCAGTGTCCTCGTTCTCGGAGGCTTATGTCCTCCTCCTGCTAAGTAACTGACCCAGTTCCTTGGGGAAGACTTGTTGTTACCACTGGCCCATAAATGAACTACCTGGCAAGCCTAAAATATTTTAACAGATACAACAAGGGCATTTTGGTCCATTTAATAAAGTTTGTTTAGAGGGACCATCTGCTTTGAAATCTTGGGGAGAAGTTCTTTGTAACTTGAAGGGAATAAATAGAGCAGCAGAAACATTTCAAAATACTGCGTAACAGGGCCATAACCAGAAGCTGCCAAAGGATGGGGCTGGAGAAACAGGTTACCTAGTCAGCATTGCCTTTTCCTCACCATCTACCCTCACATGCACACCCCGCACATCACACACACATACATGCAGTGCCACATGTGCTCTTAATCAGGTAAGGCTTTCCCGGTGTCTCCACAAAAATGCAGTGACTGTATCTAGGCGCAGAGTAAATATTTGTCAAATGAATGATTCTCTAGCCTAACAAAGCAGTAGAATTTTGAATTGAGCATTAACAAAAGGCCTTTGTGTTACAGATATTCTAAGTTCTGAAGTAGGGCCAAGGGGTGCCATACTTTGGAACTTGAACTTTGTTTTATCTGTGTTGCCTTTTCAAATCAGCCTTGTTTTGAGAAGGAAAATCAAATGAGCCCATCTTGGGTCCACTTTCCTTGTCAACTGCATGATTCATCTCCATGATTTACTGGGCAGTGGAAAGGCCCTGAGGAAGGCTTCAGGAAGTGGCTGGAAAGAGTGGGTGTCACTCTGTAGAAAAAAGGAGGAAGGGAAGAAGAGAGGGGCCTGTGGATAGTGAGAAAGGGACAGGCTGGCCCTGCAAGGAAATCCAGAGGGGGCTGTCATAGATGTTTGTGGAAGACAGTGCTGAAGAAAGAGAAAAACGATGTGCTTGTTTTGTGGAGCCTCCTTTGGGTGTATAAAATACCCAAATGTGGCAGAATTAATCTGTAGATCACTGTGTAGACTTTTCTAGAGCTTTCCAGAGGTCTTTATAGGTGCCCACATCCCTAGTCAGTATTTTTAAATCAACTTTTTTAATGAAGAAGTAATACATACTTGTGTATTTTAAAGAAACACCCAAAATTGGAAGGAAAGAACATTTCCTTTTTAAAAACCATTCATTTAGGTGTTATATGGTCTCTGATTCTATTTCCCCAGGATAAACGCAATTATGTTTCTCTGTAATGCAGATTAAAGAGAAGGGCAGCGTTTTTCTCGACAGCCATATTGTACCAGAAGTGTACTGCTATGGGTGAATGCTGGAGCACCTCTCCATTCTGTCTCACCTAAAGCCCACCCCCACCCAAATGTCCTTAGGAGAGCACATTTCCTGAGCCAAGGATACAGGCAGAAATGTCTGTTGTTTTCCAGGCAAAATCAGTGAGAGACACGCACTGAGATATCCCGGCAAAGTGATGAAAGTGCTAGAATCATAACAGGAAAAATGTTACAAGCCACCCAGGTATTAAAAATGCATTGGCTACAAAGAAGTGACAGTGGGGGGTGGGGGTAGACTTCTCTGCTGTATTTGCTGCCAGAATACAGTGAAGCCTCTGCTCAAGAATTTTGTGGGGCCCTGGCTGGTGTGGCTCAGTGGATTGAGTGCCAGCCTGCAAACCAAAGGGTCTCCAGTTTGATACCCAGTCAAGACACATGCCTGGGTTGTGGGCACTCACATCCCGGTGGGGGGTGCTCAAGAGGCAGCCATACACTGATGTTTCTCTCCCTCTTGATGCGGACCCCGGCTTGTGGGGTCTGCCACATTGTAGATGAGGCATGAGAAATCCACGCAGACTACCAAGTCCTGTGGACGAAAAGGGATGGCGTGACTTCTCTCTCAAGGGGAGAAAAAGCCTCAGAGTACCTCGGCCACCCTCTCAAGAGGAGAGCACCCAACCCTTGCCTTCACAGGCTTTTATTGGGTTCGATTTGCACAGGAATAAAGTTCATCAATCATTGTCAGGCAGAAATGATTAAACAATAGATAATATTCAAAGAACTCTGAGGGCTTATTCTGAGTCAGGGTCAGATAGTTAAAAGGCCATAAAACTGTGGGGAACAAACTCACTTCCTGCTTGGTCCCTTATTATTTAAGTTGAGGGTGTTAGCAAAGTAGGGTGTTTCATAGGATTTTATGCATTCTTACTTAGGCCTGATCACCCTAGAGAACCCGCCCTTTCCAGCACAGGGCCACACCCACCTCCAGCATTGTTTCAAGCTTAAGTCAGGCTGGGGAAGTAAGGCAGCCAAGAGATTAGCAGACTTCTTGGAGACAAAATGAGGACTCAGGCTATGTCAAAGCCAAGGGGCAAGAGTCCATCACCCGCTTTTGCTATAGCCCCCCAAGTCCTTCCCTGGGGGCTCCTCGTGTGTGTGCCTGTCTTAGGTCATCCCCCCCTTGAGCAATCTTACCCATCATTAGCTAACTGATCCTGCATTGGGGGCCAGGCAGGGCAAAGTAAAAGAGGCAGGGGAGATAAGCTTTGTCTCCTTAGTGGCTTATGCTCACTCATCCTTAGCCATGGGGGGTTACAGCTTCTGAAACCAGGCAGGGCAATTCCCAGCACTCTGTCTTTCTCCCTCCTTTCCCCTCTCTCTAAAAATGAATACATAAAATCTTTAAAAAAAATTTTGTGGGAAGAAATGTGACTCATATTTTCATTCAAGTTCTGTGTGAAGGCAACAGAGGACCTGTCTTAGCTGCACATGAGCTAGAAGTTATGCCTCCTGTATACTGTGTTTCTGAGGTGGCAAAAAGTTATTAAAAGACCTATTCTAGATAACTCAGAGGAGTCAGAACTAGCACTTCAAAAATGGTGGCATCGCAGAATAAAAGAAGTATAGCCATTCCCTTGTGTAGCTGTAACTGAACTCAAGTTCAGCTGCCTGCCCTATGAAAGCCAGTACTCAAGAGGCAGGTGCTGATGTAAAGGAAAGTTGTATCTTTTCAGGTGCTGGCCACATGGAAGATGGGAACTCATGTCACAAAGCCCCCACCTGTCAGTGGAGGCAGAGGTTTTTATAAGGAGGGAGAGGGGAACAGAATAGAGAGATCAGGGGCGGGGATTGCAAGTTCCCTACATGCAGATGAGCACAGTCCATTCTGATAGGGCAAGTGACGGTCCGGTGTGTGTCATCCTGGTTTAGCCATCCCAGCTTCATGTCATCTCAACTTCATGTCATTCTGGATCCATGGTTGAAGGTCAGCAAATCTCCCGGAGCTGGGATGCATGAAGGTCAGTGTCTGTATCTTTTGAAGCTAGTTTCTAGGATTCTTATATAAACACATTGTTTATCTCTAAGCTACATATTAGAGTCAGCACTTACAGGATAATGTCAAAAGAATCTTGGGGTGGGTTATAGTTCCCTTTTACAATTTCCCACTGTTACGTAGCTTGGATCCCAGGCTCAGAAACCTAGCCAGGGGCTGAGCTCTCAGCTGTCCCCATGGTCCCAAGCTCATTGGGTCTTTAGCACACCCGCCCCTGCTCGGTTTTTAGGCCCACTTTCCCAGTGAGCATAGGTTTCTGGCATCAGAGCCTTCACCCCACAGTTCACATGGATTTTCCCACCTGGTCTGATAACTCCTTTGAGAACTAACTACTGCTGGAGTGCTCCAGCGTTTGCTCCCAGTGGCTGAACTTCAGTAAGACTGACATGACTGCCAAGCAAAAGCCTCCCCTCTCCTTAACTACCCTTACAGAGAAACTCCATCATATGCTTTTTACTGAGGAAACAGAGTCATGATTTCTACATTTGCAAAACATGCTGAATGACCTGAGGTTTTTATTTTTATTTTACTTAATAAACCAGACATACTGGTATACCAGAATAGCTTCGAAACATTCACCCTGTGTGCAGACAGCCGGCCCTTAGATACGGTCCACATGTGCATACTCACAGTCACGTGGAGGGAGATGCTCAAGAGAATGAAGGCGGCAGAAACTGGCCTTCACTGAAACCGTGAGTGAGAAGTATCCTACAGTTTCCAGGAAATTATGGGTCATCATTTGTCAGCAAAGTGACCAGCAGACAGTCACCCCCCACTCCTCAGTTTGTCCAAGCTGAGGATGAAGGAACAAGAGGGTTTGCTGTCTCTGATTGAATGTGAAGGCACATCAGGTCCACAGGGCCCTGCTCATGTCTGTGATAGGCAGAGGTGTGTGCCCAGCACGAGGCCAGGGAGCAGGGCCTCCTGAGGGGCATCCTGTCTTGTACTAATGAAGCCTTTGTGCCCTTTTGCCTCCCTGTTACCTGCAGCCTACTGGGAAGATGCTTTCAGACAGGCAGCTTGTTCAGCCCTTGGTCTATATGGAGCGCCTGGAGCTCATCCGAAATGTCTGCAGGGATGAGGCCCTGAAGAACCTCTCACACACTGCAGTGTCCAAATTCGTCCTGGACCGAATATTTGTCTGTGACAAGCACAAGATCCTTTTCTGCCAGACTCCCAAAGTAGGCAACACCCAGTGGAAGAAAGTGCTGATCGTGTTAAATGGTGCGTGCCGTGCCTGTTGTCTGCCCCACATGAGAGGCTTCAGGGTTTGCCGTGGGAAAGTCACCGTGACCTGGGTGGGGGGACAGAAGGAGGCAGAAAGCAGCCACAGGAAGGTGCATCTCCTAAGAGGGGCTGATAACCTTTCAGACAGTTCTCCATCGTGCTTTTCCTACTAGCGTTGTACTTTAAAAGTTGGTGGGGAAAAGTGGACTTAAAATATTCCATCTTTAAAGTACAATGGAGTGTAGAGTATTTTGATATTTTGTTATTCAGTAGCAAAGCATTATGTTCATTACGCAGTGAGCCTGTATCTGCTGTGAGAACATGTGTGTTGCAGCGGTGTGGAGCGATAGGAGTGCCACACGTGGGCTCAGCCGTGCATGGTCTGTTGTGCAGTGTAAAGATAGGCCCAGACAGCAGGTCAGTAAATAAGTACGGCTATATTCCAATAAAATTTTATTTAGGCACACTAAAAAAAAAGTCGGTGGGGTTAATTTAGACACTGATTGTTTTCAAAAGGCCACTGCTGAGGCCACAGTCTCCTTGCTTTCCGCAGCAGAGTGCCCACCTCAGGCAGCCTGCCCACCCAGTGGGTCCCTGTTCGTCTCTTCAGATTCATAGCACTGATTCCTACTAGTCACTGGCTTTGTCCTCGTAAGTCAAGGCCCCGCATTCACTGAGCTGCCAGGAAGCTACCCCCATAGCTGTCCTTCCTGTGCTGAGAAGGAAGGGCTGGGCTCCCCGTACCTCAGTGCCTGGGAGGGGAGCCCTGCCAGTGGGTGTGGGGGCCTCCTTCCCCCCAGACAGCATTCTGTGCCACCTGGGTGGGTAAAGAGGGTCTCCACTTTACACCAAGCATTTATATTCAAAGTATTTAACTGACCTGTTTCAGGAAATCTGATGTGTTCTTGGAAACAGATTAGATCACTGAAAAGTGACCTCATACATTATAGTTTTTGATTATTCACTACTCTTTTCAAACACCGTATTTATTAGTTTAAACCCCACTTACTCTGAACGGATCCCGGGTCATTATGGGCTCTGTCACACTCAACTTTGAACGAAGCATGGGTCTGGTTGACATCAGTGCAACTTCCGGATGAAGAACCAGACCTGGGACCCCTGCGGAGGGTGGCCTGGGTCTCCGTCCGCCAGCCCCTACTGCTGCCGCCTTCCCACTGGTCAGTCTGTTGCCATTTGGCCTTTTCATTGGTTGGTTGGGGGACCGGGGAGGGAGACACTCGCCTCATGTGCTTGAGCAATCTGATAGCGTATTGAAATTTTGACTTTGTAGAATAAGGTTACAAATCAAATTTAAAACAACAAATGTATGAGTCTTAGAAATCTGCCACCACAGTATGAAAAGCATTGGTGTTTAAAGAAGTAACACCCACTTCCAAGGGCAGGGCAAAAACAGGAGCAGGTGTGCCAGGTGACGTATAGGCACACCTCAGAGATCCTGTGGCTTCTGTTCCAGACCCCTGCAGTAGAGTAAGTAGTGCAATGAAGCAAGTCACAATCTTGTTGGTGGAGGGTCTTGCCTTCAATTTACAAAAATTCAGTTTGTAAAAAGACACAGCGTCTGTGAAGTGCAATAAAAGAAGGTACACCTATAACAGAAAAACAGATGGTCCTTGTGGCTGACTTCTGCTGGCCCTAGATGCACCTGGATGGGAACAGGTACCTGAGCAGGTCCACGTACAAATCCACTGAGTTGGTTCACTTCCCAGTCTTGCTCATTTTAGAGCCATCCACAGCAATTGGCATACAGTTCCGGACGGGTGCTTAAACCTGTGGGGGAAGGCTGAGCTGAAGAGACAACACAGTGGCCACTGCTCAGATGGTCCAACAGATTTTTCCCTGCTGGACTCCAAGTTAACATGACAGGATTAACACAGGATGGAAGTAAAGGTTTGCAGAGGCTTGGGTAAGAGCTCAGACAGTGATGCTTTATTTCCATCGTCTAAAATGGGAAACGAATAAAAACTGCCCAACCCACCAACCCAAGGATGCCCCTCACTGTCTGATTCATCGGCCTGCCTTCCAGCACTATGGCTCTGGATCCTCCTGTTTTCTTAGTCGCTGCTTGTCCTCCCAGGCCCCTGCTTCAGTCTCTGATGTCACTCCCAGGACACTAACTTCATTCCCACACTAAACATCTGTGCCACTAGCTGTCTGGTGTTCTGCAAGGTTCCCTAGCGATGTGGACTCCGATCACTGGGGTCTGTGTGGTGTGGATGCGATGAACAAAGTCACAAGTCCTGTGGCAAAAAGGGACGGCACGGCCACTCTGAGAGAGAGGGCCCCAACCCTTGCCTGGACAGGCTTTTATTGCTTTTCTGGGAGCATTACCTCAAGGATGGTCCTCATGTACTATGCACAGGTTCACTTTAGGTGATTACCTTTTACAGATAACAAAGGAGAAGATGTTGCTAATTACTTCAAAGAAAAGGATGTTGCAAATGCAGGGGGAAAAGTGGTTGAACCGGTTATACTACTCCATCCTTGGGAGGTTTAGCACAGACTTTAGGAAGTTACAGTAAGCACCTGCTGCTTCAAATCAGGGTGAGGGAGTTTTAGCAAAAGCAAGCCTCAAAGTAGCCTGGGTACAATGCAGGCCTGGTTCTCCATGGGAAAACTGATCCATGGGCCCGGTTCCTGTATGCCGACTCACTCCCTACCAGTTTTTCAAATCAGGCTGGGCTACATTTGCCACTGCCACATGGATCAGTTCCCCATAACGTAGGAACCACCTTAGGCCCAGGGATGTGGTCCTGGGAGCACTTTGCCTCCCCACAGTAATGGGCCTGTGACGGTGCTAGGGGTGTAGACAGTGTGTTTCATGGTCCTGCTGTGCTGGCATGTCCCCAGTTTCCTGGTAGAATGAGTGGTGTTGGTCTTAGGCACTCTGTCGGCATGCAATGATCTGTTCATCATGGCAGATTCAACCCAATTCTAGTGCGTTCCAGGGATAGATATTGTCCTTTCCACTCCTTGCTCCCTCCCTTACCCTCCTCCTCCCACCTTGTCTGTTTCCTCTGGTTGGCTTACAGATTACCAAAAGCTTTTTTTCCCACTCTCATCTTGTCATGTGAAGTCGTCTTAGTTGGAATTAAAAGGCCTCATCCTGGATTTGGGGGATGACTTGTGGGGAACATGGGCCCAGGTCAAGAGATGGAAATCTTCTCTAAAGGTAGCACTGAGGTGGCCAACACAATTTTTCCCTTGTTTACTTCCCAGGAGCCTTTCCTTCCATTGAAGAGATCCCTGAGAACGTGGTTCACGACCATGAAAAGAACGGCCTCCCTCGTCTTTCCTCCTTCAGCAACACAGAAATTCAGAAGCGGTAGGAACAGGTTTCTGTGGGGAGGGGCATTTTGATAAAACCCCAGACTCAGTTCCATACTTGCCCTGCGTCCCAAGGACTCCTCGCATGCGGCCGAGCATGTGCCCAGAGTTCAGTGCACCTAAATTCAGAAGTCTTGATGAGAACTTCAGAACAACTATCCACCCTTATCTTTGTGCAGCCCATTCAGGTGAAGGTTATATCATTTTCCTAATAGAAATGAGTGGTCGATTTTGTTTTGCTTTGGGTATGCTAAATTTTATGGACTTCTTCCTGAATATGATCATTATTTCATAAGAAAGGGTTTAGGTTGCAAGGAAACCCCACTTAGTTTTTCATTTTTCCCAAAGGCGTTATCCCTGCTTCCACAGTAGCTGCCCTAGGAGTGCTGGTGTGGGCCGGACCTAGCACAGACCGGGAGACCGGCCCCAGCGGTCACAGCAAGGATGGGCACTGGCTTTTACAAATTAGTTAGCTAATAAATTGAAAGGTTCCCTTTATGAGTTATGACATGGCCCCATACAACAATGTTTAAAAGGGATAAGAAAGTCAGGGACCAACGAACTTTACCCTCTGTCACTCTTCAACACCTTTTCATTGGTTCTAGCCCTGGTTGCCCATTCTTCCCAACCCCTACAAACCCTTCAGGGTGTAGGTGCTAGGTGCCAGACCCAGAATTTGGGCCAGGGCTGTCCTGTTACCCTCCTGCTCTCCTATGTCTCGGGGTTTTTATGAGAGGAAATGAGTCAAGCCCTGCAGAGCATTGACAGCAGTTTCTGGCCTGGAGTAAGCACACCTACGACAACAGTGCCCTTGCTGTTTTGTCATCGCCGTCACTGCTGCAGGCCCTTTGCTCCCTGGTGCCACCATTGCCTCTCCTGCAGGCCTCCCAGGCCGCCACTCCCGCCAGCTGGGGCCTGAAGCTTCCTTCTCCCTCTTCTCCTACCACGTCCTCTCATTTTTGCTACCCCTGGCAATTTTGAATTGAATCTTTAAAGATATAAAGTAACTTTCTCTGGCCTCAGCTGTTCCTAACTCATTCAGAATTCCTGCCCTTAGGATTTTCTGCTCAAAGACAAAACTTTTAAACACTCTTAAAGTTTCAAAATATTCAAGTAAAACAAAACATGGGTTAAATGGATGTTCTCACAGCGCCCCCCAAGGGTGAGGGGGGAGTGCTGTGGCCTTGGACAGTGACAGCGTCTGAGGCTGCCTTTGCTCACCTGCAGCCAGGCCGCCAGCGGGTGGTGTGGGAGTGGATTGAGGAGGAGGCTCGCCCGGGCAAGGGCTCAGGACCCAGCGGCTGCTGCTCCACTGCCACTGTCCACTCCTGCCACCCTCACGGCCGGCACCACCAACAGCATCCACTTAACCTCTCATTTCTCATTTTTTTCTTTAGCTTGAAAACCTACTTCAAATTTTTTATTGTAAGAGATCCCTTCGAAAGACTGATTTCTGCTTTTAAGGATAAATTTGTTCACAATCCCCGCTTTGAGCCTTGGTACAGGCATGAGATTGCCCCTGGCATCATCAGGAAATACAGGAAGAACCGGACAGAGACCCGGGGGATCCAGTTTGAAGATTTTGTGCGCTACCTGGGCGATCCAAACCACAGATGGCTGGACCTTCAGTTTGGGGACCACATTATTCACTGGGTGACGTATGTAGAACTGTGTGCGCCCTGCGAGATAACATACAGTGTGATTGGCCACCATGAGACCCTGGAGGATGACGCCCCTTACATCTTAAGGGAGGCCGGCATAGACCACCTGGTGTCATACCCCACCATCCCTCCGGGCATCACCGTGTATAACAGAACCAAGGTGGAGCGCTACTTTCTGGGCATCAGCAAACGGGACATCCGCCGCCTGTATGCCCGTTTCCAAGGGGACTTTAAGCTCTTTGGGTATCAAAAGCCAGATTTTTTGCTAAACTAATGTGTAGGACTGTGAATTCAGATACCCTTGTTAGACCAGAGGCTCAGCAGATGGAGACCTAAGCACAGGAATGATGCTTCCTCCATCACCCTCCTGAAGACGCCCGAGTCGGCAGTGGGCCACGGGTGCCTCGGCCGATAAAGCTGCACCCTGACCGTGACGGCGCAGTTTGAACATCAGGTGCCCTTAGCGCCTTCGTCCCCTACCCCCGACCAATGCCAGTAGGTCTTTGCTGTCCTTAGGGAAAAGAACTAAACACTTACAGTCTAAAGACCAGGAGGAAAAATTATATGACAGTAGGAGTCATTTCCCTCAGCTGTCAAGGAGGCGGGTACACTGCAGCTCCCCTGGATGGTGGAGATCCCCTAGACGGGGATCATAGGAGTAGCACACAGCACTTTCAGGGGACCTGAAAAGATTGTGGCATGCAGAAATTACAGGGGCTAATACAGGCCCAAATCTGCATAATAAAATTATACCCCTGGCCTTCATCTTGGCGCTGCTATAATCATAAACCATTCTTTCCATGACTGTCTTGTTCCTGTGACATTCAGGGGTGACCCAAGAGCACTTTTCGGCAGCCTGTCTTTTCAGAATCCATGCCTGTGTGCTACCAGTCCATATTTCTGAGCCTCTGCCAGCCAAAGGATTATCTCATTCAGCCCAAGAAATATAATTTTGGAAAGTGACGGGACTGGAGTGTATATTCTTTCCACCTGAGAAAGCGAACATCTTTGGGGGCCTTAAAGTGGCACGGGCAAAGGAAGAGCTGGCTGGGTTCTGGAGCTCAGGCTGCTGTGGACTGGGGCGTGCCCATCCTGACTGTTGTCCCTCTTTGTCTTTGTCCCGTCTGGATGGGCAATGGGGACTTCTCTTCCTTTCTCCTCCAGGGCCCTCCCCTGGGGCTGAAGGCCAGCAGGGCAGCATTGCAGTCAGTGCAATTGACTCATTTGGTTCTCTTCTCACCCATCTGCTCACCACTGGACCTGTTTTTGATGGTGCCATCACCCTGGACTCTGAGTTGGATAGTGAGGTTCACCAGCAATAAAATCCTGGGCTGAGGCAGCCTCCAATAATACATCTTCCCGGCACTGAGGAGCGAGCCACGGCCACTCTGTCAGGTGCCTTCTGACCCTGAGCGCCCTTGAGATACGGGATTGTTTCCTTGTGAAAAGTCCCAAGTGCCCATGAGCCAAGCTATTCTTCTAGGCAACCTCAACCTTCCTTTTCTCAGAAGGGCTGCCTGAGTCTGTAAATGTGAAAGTAAATTAAAATAAAAAAATATGTCTAAACCTGACATGCGCTGCCCTTCCAGGGTGGGTTCCCGAGGCCTGGCAACGGGGAAGCGAGTGCAGGAGTGCTTGCATGGCAGCTGGTGATGGGCCTCCGGAGGGAAGGCTCCAGTGAGGTGGTGCAGCAGCGCTGCTGTGGTGGCGGTCAGCGTGTCAGCCTTTCGTGCTTAGTGGACACATGAAGGATATAACATGGGTTATTTTTCTATAGTCTTGTCAAAGTCATTTCACACCTAATCAGCTGACTGATTACCTCTTTCATATTTGAAACACAACTGTGAATAATATATTTGAACTTAAGGCCTTAAATTTAGTCCTAACTTTTTTAAAAATAGCTTTTTTTTTTTTCTGAAATAAGGGTTGGAAAGTTGGGTCCCCATGTGTCCCTTAGTCCTCTGGCTTTTAGATTTAGGTCATTTTTCTTTGCATTTGGGTTGTTTTCCTAACCGATTTCGCCAGGCAAGGCAAGGAGGGATCACCACCAGGACATCTGGACATTTCACAGCATGTCCACAGCATTTGTTCCCCACCGCCACCCCCTGCCTCGTGGCTCCTGACCCCCACAGCTGCCCCACCACGATCACCCTCTGCTGAAGTCATTCACTGTCTTCAGTCTCCAAACCACTTCCTACCCTGGGCCTTAGGAGTAGGCACCCATTCTGCCGCTGCAGGCAGTTTCCCCCTTGCTGCTGTGCAGGGGGAGCTTTACAAATGCCACCTGGAGCTAACCTGGCTGGTTCCTTCCAAGAACCAAACACTCTGCCTGTAGTGGAGACTTCCCCTGCCTGGCAGGTGTCTTCTAGGCAGCTGTCTCAACCTGTGCCCATGCCTGTCCCAGGAGCGCATTGTCCTCAGCCCTGTGCCTTCTCAGCTGACCCTGAACCTGCCAGAGGGGTGGAGTTGGAGGGCCTTATGGACGGGGCACTAAGATGGGTTTGGGGCTGAGGTGTCACCAAGGGTCAGGGCTTACAGCTTGTTCCTGGGCAGAGACACCTCCAGGTAAGGAGATGGGCAGCTAGAGGGGGTGGCTGATGGGAAATGTCTAGGTGAGAACTCAGGAGTGACATTAAGCCTAGATTTGAAAGAAGCATAAAAAGCAACTCTGTATCCAAGAAGAGGTCTTAAGGCATGGAGGGCTGTTCCTAAATTTACAAATTTAACATTGGGTTGACTTACTAGGCTTGTGTCATAAATCACTTTCTCTTACTGGATTTCTCTCCTGTCCACACATGTTAGTTTTATTGGTCTTATGTTGAAAACCATTACAGTGAAGTGTCCGGAGCTGAGATGAGGTTTGATGTGCACAGTGGCTGCCTGTACACAGAGATGCTGCAGTCCGCCGGGTGTGAGGGATGTGAGGGACCCAGGCAGCGTCCCTCTGGGGATCCTGGGAGCCAGAACCTCTGAGTGGGCAGGGGTCCCAGAGGGTTCCTCAGGGATGTTGGTCGCCTCCCCCCACCCTGCTTCCCACTCTAAACCCCAGCATGACCTGTTCAACTGAAATCTCCACAAGCAGGGAAGAGCAGAAACCTGGACTGGAAGGGGGAAAATAAGATGGCAGCTAAATATGAGTCAGAAGAAGCCTTACCACCTGTTTGAAGAAAATTAAGTTGTTCAAGGTACCTTTTCCAAAGCCCTGCACCAGGGCTGTGAGGGTCCAGAGCTAAGCAGAATAGCAGGCTCACGAGAGAGGAACGGTTTCCGGCTGAAGTGACAGGTACACTGACTGGGAGGATGGAAGCGGTAGAGAGCAGGAATTACAGGTTTCTTCTTTGCTCCTAAGCCAGTTCCCCTGGAAACTTAATAGTAGCTGCCTTGTAGTCATCTAAGACAAGGCCTGGATGGGAGTATAACATTTGTAATGTGTTTCTCTCAAGGCTGAGTCACTTTGTTTACCTGATATCTCAGTGGGGCTTGGTCAGAGCCTTCTTCAGTCTTACTTGCTGTTGTCTGGAATCATCAGGTATTCAATTCTTGTAACTCTGCAGGGACCCAAATTTCTGGAATTTTTGTTTGTGCTTACCAATTTATACTGGTCAGTTCTCTCTTCCCATCATACATACCCCCTTCACAAATATGGAGAGGATCAATCAATGCACATTACCATTTGCCTCTTCTCTAGCAGTCTGTTTGTTCTTTGTCGTCCATATTATCACAGGTGACAGTTTCACTCAGTATTTCTCCACCACATAACAACATACCATGAGTCTCAGTCCAGTTCCCTTTCTCCCTCCATTCCTTCCTCCCTTTCAATCTCTTTCCTTTCTTCTTTCTTCTTTCTTTTTTCTTCTTTCTTCTCTCTTTCTTTTTGCCAGCTCCTAACCACTAAACTTTCAGGTGTTTTATGTTTCTGTAACTGCAGCACCAGTATCAAGATTAAAAAATTTCTTTATTAGATAACATTAGCTGCTATAACAAATAAACATGAAGATTTCAGTAACTTAATAAAATGATTATTTCTTACACACATAACAATCCAATGGTCTGTTCCTTGTAGGCAGGGATTTTTCCACTTTATGGCCCCGTCATGTCCAAGGATCTCATGGTAAAGAGTACAGAGCACGGGAGACATAATGATGGACCAGGTGTGGAAATGGACCACGGTCTTCACTCTTTTGGCACAGAGGAATTTCAAAGAGAGCAGAATCTGCCTCCCCAGTCCTATCCATATATGTCAAGGCAGATAAGCTAGGTCATCATTGTCCTGCAAGTCTGAGGGCTTATGGTTGCCAACAGAACACTGGGTTAAATTAACCTAAATCCTGTTCATGCTGCAAGGAAGCCTCAGGTCAGTTATCTATTATTGAAAAGAATTTTTAAAACAGACATCTCCTCATATTTCCTGCTTTCCTTTACCCCAAATCAGCCACTTCCCCTCCTCCCACCCAAGAGTATGTGATTCTCAAGGTTAGGGACTTTTCCCATATATTACTGTAGCTCCAGATCCTGAACACAGCAGGTGCTCCATAAATGTTGATTCAACTAGGTAGAGTCATTGGGAACACTGTTTTTTTACAGGGATGCTCATTGACCCCCTTGGTTACCCATCCACTGCACACCTTGGCATGGCTGCAGCAGCCATTACATTTCCTTCCTCTCCAGATGCCTGCATTTAACTGTGGAGTAGTGATTGACAGATGCTACTTCTACCCCACCCCAAAGCTTGAGAAGAGGGGTGCTAAATAAAGGGATGTACACACACACAGAGAAGCCAATTTCTAAATGTATGCTCTTACAGGGTGTGCTTTGCCTTTTCCCTTAGGAAAGTGCCCTATGTAAAAGAATAATAACAATTTGCACTTTCATCTTGTAAAGTAACAAGTGTAAGATACACTTTAGAACTTCCGTATTCTGTACATTTTAGCACAATGATCTGAGAACGCTTGGTCACAGCTCAACTCAGGTCACAGTGCTGATCTTTCTGTCTCTCTAGTTTTGCCTTTAGCAGATATTTCACATAAATGGAATCACACAGTGTGTAAATTCTTCAGTATGGTCTCTTTCCCTTAGCAAAGTCTTTTAGGTTCATCCATATTGTCACGTGTCAATATTTCATTCCTTTTACTGCCAAGTAGGTATTCCATCCTGTGGAAATAATCACATTTTGTTTATTTATTCACCATTTCACGGATATTTGGATTGGTTAAAGTGTTTGGCTCTTATAAATCATGTTGATATGAACATATACATTCAAGTCCTTGTGTATATATTTTTCCTTGGGTAGATACCTAAGCACGGAATTGGTGGTCATAGACTCGTAGTGTTTAATAAAAGGATAAACCAATTAATGATTTTAAAGAAGTTTCTAAAGTGCAAAAATACTAGAACCAACCTTCATGTTACATAGAGTGTAAAGCTAAAGAACTACTCATAGCAATACACTGCAAAATTATCTACAAACTGGAAGGATAATAAATTCAGCAGCAATGCATTCTAGTCTTTATTTGGTCAGTAGATATTAGATATAGCGACCAAACCTGTAGACTTGGGCCAGTGACCACCCCACAGAAAGGTGTGGTCACCCAGCCCAGGCCAGGAGAGCTGGGGCCTCAGGACCTCTGCTCTGGGAAGCAGCGGTGACTGTCTGTCTCCTCCTCCCCTGCCCCCCAACAAAACTATATACATGAAACCTCATGGTTAGCTTCATTTAATTTTCTGATGTTTTACAATTTTTGCCATTCCAATTATGGTACCTCTCACTGATCTTCATTCAAAATAGCCAGTTGTGGAAATGCATAAAATTTTGGATAAATCAAGACTGGTTCTTGAGGAGAAAAGTGTCAAGGATCTCTGAACTGCATAGTATCATGTACGCTTCCAAGTATGAGAAGAGGAATAGGTTCTACCTATTTTATGGTTGGGGACATCAAAGAAAGAGCTGCACAAGGTAAGGGGTTCTGGGGCCCCCAGGCCCCATTTACAAGCGGTCCAGTTGCAGTTTTTCTGCCAGAGTTGTTTCACCATCTTCCTCCAGGGGGCGCTGTTTCCTATGTTAGTTCCCACTAATCCCAGGTTCTCTTCTTGGGAACCGGGAAACTCACTAAGATAGGCTTAGAAGCTGTAATGATGACGGAACCAAACACTACTGTGCTGAAATTAGGCCCAGAGCAAACATGGTCAGGTTTTCTCTACTGAAAAGCTAGAGAGTAGGAAATCAAACTAAGTCTACAGAGAGCTTGCCAACAATCTCAGAGCTGTGGAAAATGAAGTTGTGTTGATTTCATGAAATCACAAGCCCTAAATACAAACAGTAGAAGATTTCCTTCCCAGAAGATAATTCTTAGTAAAAGGCTGCTAAAGCCTGAAGGATTTTTCATTTGTTTGGTTTTTGGTTGTGCTGGTGGTTAGTTTTTAGTCTGTAACCCCTTGTTTTGGTCTTCAAATGCCTTCACCATGATTCTACTTATGTTAGAACTTGTCCCAGTGATAGTTGGAATAATTCAAGATAACTCTCTGTGTCTTGTTCTGAAAGCAATGGGGAACTGCCATGAGCAGCTATTCTGTT